GATGCCAGGAGCCCCTAGTATAGCTTCTTGTTCCTAGTAGCGATGCCAGGAACCCCTTTCGTAGCGTCCGATCGCTCCGTTCGTAGCGATGCCCTTTGTCCACACCGAGTCCTCGTGGCCGGCGGTGCCAGGCTCAATGCAAGCTGGGCCGCAGGAGAGGCTTTTTGGCCAAGGAATCTGCCAGCGTTGGGATTCCATGGCTTCGTGGCGTAGGATCTAAGAAATCCATTCGAACCTGAGTAACTTCAAGCTTTCTTCGTGGCCAACGGATCATGATCAAAGACTTCTCCCAGCAACTCAAGCCATCTTAAGCCAAGCAGCGTGAGCATTCGTGCTTGCAAGGCATGCCAGCAACTGCTCCGCTGAAGTTTCCGACCACTGGCTCTTGGTGAGATCACGGCCATTCAAGGCAATCAACTGGTAACCCGCCAGCACACCTCGAGAACGCAAACATGGTTCATGAATCATGACAAACCCTGACACTAAAGAGTTCAGCTGATTCCGTCTGATTCCGAGAGGTTCCAGAGATGGAAGCGAATCTGATTGACACAAATCATGCAAGTCCAAAGCCGGACGCTAGTAGGGGCTCCTGGCCTTGCCTGCTCTTCGGGCAGGGCCCTCAGATGCCACTGCCATCACAACAATGGGATTGCCTGAGAAACCATGAGCAATCTGAAAGATCAATGTGCAGCGCACTTGGAAGACAGCTCTAGCTCTGTAAAAGGTCTTAAACATGAGTCTCTTGCTATGAGGCCATCGCTATTAAGTTGGAGGCCATTGATTTTCGGTTGGAGGCCATGGCCATTGCTTATAGGTTGGAGGCCATAATTGCCATTCGGTTGGAGGCCATCATTGCTAATAGTCTCTTGTATGCTAGCATTTTTGGTGATCTAATCGTCGCATCCAGGTTCACTGCGAAGGCCCAAAACTACGAACCGAACAGGACTTGCTTCTTTTGGGCTACCGCATGCATCACTGCAGGGTTCTGGAATGCTTTTCCCAGCTGAACGACCATCCTCCTAAAACCGCTGCAAGACCACGTTCCATGACTAGTTTCACCTTGGGATTCAACCAGCCTGATCCACCAGACAAGCTGAGATCCTCAGCTGCTGCTTTGGTGCTGGAGTAGCCTCGGCTGGAAGCACTCTGCAGTCTGAGTTTAATATACATGGACCACTCCAACCTACTAGCAATGGCCTCCAACCTAATAGCGTCCTTGCTCCTAGTAGCGATGCCCTTTGCTACTAGTAGCTTCTTGCTCCTAGTAGAAGTCCAGGGGCCCCTAGTAGCGTCCTTGCTCCTAGTAGTAGTATGGCCAGGGGCCCCTAGTAGCGTCCTTGCTCCTAGTAGTAAGGCCAGGAGCCCCTCGTAGCGTCCTTGCTACTACTAGCAGTGGCCTCCAACCTAATAGCAATGGAATTTGATATGCTAGGGCCGGAGAAGTCGTTTGGGCGTCCGACTGTCAAATGGTCTTCACATGTTCCAAGCACTGAAAGCAGAAATCAAGGGCCGAGCCCAAGTGCACACATCCACTGAGAGATGGCTGCTCCGGAGGATTGGACACCAGCTCTAAGATCTTCTGCCATTGCCAGTCTTGATAAACATCCTCAAACACAATCCATGATTCGGCCATTGCTTCCTTGTTTGCGGCCATAGCTTCTAGGTTGGAGGTAGGTTTCAGGCCATCGCTATTAGGTTGGAGATCATTGCTATTAAGGTGGAGGCCATTGCTATATTAATGATCTATCCATGCATCTTGCTTTCCTTGTGAGTTTCCGGGGCTCAGGTAAGTAATGAATGCTTGAAATCTGCAACCAAGCAGCATCAAAAAGTCTTTGTGTTGCCGAAGGTTTACCTGCGGACCGATGACATCCGCCATATCCGCCATATGGCATCCGGTCATTCGCTACCCTTTCCAGTCTGGCTGGCCCGATCTGTACACCATCTTTGTAGCGAACGACTTGACGAAGTGACACGTGGTCCTCCACTGGAACAGCAATCCGCCACCAACCCCATGGCTGTTCGGGCTGAGACCCGTCGGCTTCCTGAGGAGGTTTGGGTAGATCCTCTGCCTGGGCTGGATGGATGATTGTGCTTTCAAGAACGTCCTCTTCGTTCAGTTCCCTGCTTTCCAAACCCTCCCTGGAAACACCTGCTGGTTGTGCTTCTGAAGTGCCCTCCGCTTGCTGATCGGT